TATGTGTTATGTTGGAAAAAATAAAAAATATTTTGCAAATAAATAAATAAATAAATAAATAAAAAGGAAAACCCCCCCCCAGTCAATGGTGTCCCGCTTTACCAATGTTAAAATCTGGCCACCTTAATAATAGTTCAACTTCCTTTGGCATTCTTTTTCCTAGAAGGATTTGAAATTATCTCCCAGTATTAGCTGAACCAAGAGCAAGTTTAGCATAGTGATTACAGCACTAAACTAGAAGCCAGAAGACTAAATTCTAATCCTGTTTTAGGTGTGAAATCAGTTGGGTGACTCTAGGCCAGTCTCTCTCTCTCTCTCTTAGCCCTAGGAAGGAGACAATGGCAAACCACTTTCTAAATCTTGCCAAGAAAGCTTAACTTTATTATGGTCGTTAGCCATCATAAAAGAATTGGTATTCAGATATCCAAATTATTGAAAACTAAATTTACAATGTCAAGATAGCCAAGAAAAGCTAAAATTGGCTAAAAGACAATATTATATATTATATTATGATATATCTGTATCAAAATATGCTAACAGGCTTGTTTAGGCTACAAATATTCCACAAGGAGAAATTAAAATTAGCAATCTGGATAAATTTTGAAATAGTGGTATAAAATACAAGTGTGACAGAAACACACATGCACACATATTTATATCATATACATGCACACACGTGTATACACACATGCATATTTGAAAATAAAATTATCCGAAAGGGATTTAAGAATTGGAACGTCTCTTACAGAGCCCTGTCAAACATGAGAAAAATATATTATCTGACATGGCACGTACACACTAATACCAATGGTTAATGCTGATCCTGAGCCATTTCTGGCTATCCATACTCAGTTTAGGTTTAAGTACAAGGACTAGTCCAAGTAGTTCACCAGGGGTCAATAATGCACACACACACATGCACACAATGAAAAGTGGACTAGTCCAACAGAGTTGTGGATTAGTTTCAACTAATAAGTAGGATGACAATTGCAGTGTCCCGGGGTCATGTGATCATCTTTTGTGACTTTCTGACAAAGTCAATGGGGAAGCCAAATTCATTTAACAAGTGTCTGGCTAACTTAACAATTGCAGTGATTTGCTTAACAACTGTGGCCCAAAAGGTCATAAAAAGGGGCAAAACTCACTTAACTGTTTCACTTAGCAACAGAAATTTTGTGCTCAATTGTGGTAAATTGAGAACCACTTGTATTTGTCTACAGCACGGGTGTCAAACTCGCCGCATCATGTTGCCGTCATGTGATGTTTTGTGACATTTTTCCCATTCACAGAGCTGGGATGGGCGTAGCCTGTGCATGACGCATCCAGCTCACAGGCCGCCAGTTTGACACCCCTGGTTTACAGACTGGATTAAAGTTTACTGACTCCTGCTTCCTATACCAAGTACTACATTCAGGACCTGATTTTTAGCTTGGTCCTAACAATTTAACTATAGCAGCAGGCATAAACTGTGATCCTTGAGCAAAATAATAAACTTGGATGACTGACTGATCTCCAAGCGTTTTGTGACAGATCAACAGTGAATTATTGACTTATTTCTTCCTCGTTTGCCCAAGTGAATCATGGACCAGGAAATCAGCAATCCTAAACAGAAACATTAGGAAGGTAAACATATGTTTATATCAGCAATATGTATGACGTTTGCCATCTTCCTTATAAAAGTAATATATGCATTGTGACAAACAGCTGTTCATAGCCATGGATTTGCCTAATTCCCTTTATGAATCTATCCAAATTGATGGACATTAATATTTCCACCATGATTCTCAAACTGTGATGTGCAAAGAGATTATTAGTAACAATGAACCAATGGCTGAACCACACAAGTTATATATAAAAGGTAATATGATGCTAAAATTCAGAAAATGGCAATAATTCAGTTATCCATTCTTTTTATTCTTTACTTTCCCACCACTCTCTTTTGGAGGACAGGTTTCTTTGGGTTTTACATTCCTCTTAACTCACTCACTCTTTTCTCACACACCTGTTGACTTCATTTTCATTCATTCTCTATATCTGGAATGAGCTCCCCCCGGAGGATCCCGGATCTGCGCACCTTCCGCTGAGCTCTCAAGACCTTTTTATTCCATCAGGCTGGCCTGGCCTAATTTTCCCTTTTTTTCTCTTTTAAAATGCAAATTTTAATATGTTCTTAATTATTGGGGTGTTTTAAATCTGTCTTGGGCCAAATTGTTTAATTCAGTTTTATTTTGCTTTTAAATTTCGTATTTATGTGTTTTATCTTGTGGCTGTTCACCGCCCTGAGTCCTTCGGAGTAGGGCGGTATATAAATCAAATAAAACCTAAACCTAAAAACCTATATGACCAATGAATCTCCAAATGAAGGAGAAGACGGTGTTGGGTAGGCTAAACTGATTAATACACTTGCTATTCTTAATTAGTTAATCAATCATTTCCGCTACTTTTTGGTCAGAGGCTAACCCTTATCATTTTTTTCTAGTTCTGATCTTTGCCACGGTGCTATGATTCTTTCAAGATCTCTAAAATACTCTTTCCAACATTCCCTCATTTCAGTTTTATCCTTTTTCATTTTTTTTCTGCATCAATTCATCACTTTTATTTTTAATTTTATTCAATCTATTGAAAACTTCTTTAGTTCTCTTCACCCATTTCCAAAACAACTTTTTTATAATACATCATCAGTCATATATTATTATAATAATACAAACATAACTGTTTTTTATTCCAAGCTGCTTCCACACTTTTTCTTATTTCCACTTTTTACCCATTTTGATGGGAAATTAATGCATTTTCTAATACTTATTCAAATAGGATCTATACTTTCTCTTCCTTCAATCATCCTACTTTCACTCCAGAGAGTTTTTTCTTTCTATGCGCATTTTCCCTAAAGATCTACACTTCATGCTATGAAAAAATATCCCACATTTATAACCCTTCATTGCTATTGTATTTTTAACTAATTCTACCAACCTTTCATTGTAAATGATCAAATCTGCCTTACTTTTGTTTTTATATTCATTTTTTCCCATGTGTCTGTATGAATAGGTTAATGCTTAAACTACATTTATGAAATATAATTTTTTGTTAGCAGGTCTAAGCATGTTCATCTTGAAACTCCAAATGACTGTTTATTTTATTGTCTTGTGTTGTTCCAACCAATCTATTCATATCACCCAGAAAAATGAGTCCTCTCCTCCCCAGATTTCATTCTTTTATGTTGCACAATTTTCTCCAAAACTCATCCAGCCTTTCTTCTTTACCACTATTCACTGGCTATCTTCTCTTTTAAGAATTCCTATTTTCAGATGTACTTGCAACCCCAGATGGTAACAGTTCATATTTTTAACATATATTTTGCATTCATAATTAATCCTACACTCCTCCCTGCATATACCAATCAACTCCATTCTGCAAGATCAGACTACCTTCATTTAGATCTATTACATCCTTCCTACTCCTTAGTTTCATAGACACAACAAATTCTTTTTTTAATTTGTTATTTCTTTGTTCTTTTTGCAGATAGGCCCACAAATACTAAGTTTCATCATCACCCATCAGAGGTTTGGTCAATCAAGGGTATTAGACAACTTTCTTAATAATATAAAATGTAGACTGAGTTACCAGCTTTAGTCATACCTAGATTAAATGCTATACAATGTTGTCTATCCATGGAAAGGAAAGTATCAATCAATCTGGCATTTTCTGGCCAGGATGTCACAACCACAACTGATTCCATTTTTTTCTGACACATGATCATATTATCCTAAGTAAGCTAGCAGCTGCAATTAATGGACTACCTTGTAATGGATTACCTGTTGTCTATATTCCAGCACAGAGTTACATGCAGCATGCATTGCTAACACACAATCAGAATGCATGATGTGTAACGAAGGATCTTATCTGTCCTGAAATTCATAAGCATTTGCTTTCATTGGCTCCTTCTCACGTCTATACTTGGGGAGACATCTCTTTATTTTATGTCTTTCCAAATTATAGTTGTGTATAATGTCTCCGTTTATTCACATTTTTCTTAAACTGCATGGCTAAAATGTCTGTCTGAGCCTACATTTGTTATTCTTGTGGCATTTTTTGCCCTTTTCTCTGCTTTAAAAAATACATGTACGTATACTCATAGAGTTATAGTGAGCATGGTATAGAAGACTACATTAGTCATTAAATTGTAAAATAAAATTTCAGGTCTGACAATCACAGCTGGCGTTCGAATGATGGACAGCATCTGAACAGAATACACACTTTTCTCTTAGACTGAATTCTAGCATCTAGATGGAATCAATTCTTTCAACACCTCAATTCCCAGAAATGAAAAATGTTTTCTTCCTTTAAAACTGATACGATTCTCTTTCAGCCTCTGTTTCCAGGAAGAAGAAATTTCCAGGTAACTACTGAAAACAATAATAATAGGAATAAACTGGAAGTATGTTAGAATATTTTGGTTTCTTTTATTTATGTGTTGCAAAATAATTATCTCTGGATCAACTTTGAAAAAGATGGTTAATATCAGCTCATTTCATCCATGAATGAATGCAATAATTTGCCTTTAAAATTATATTGTTTGATTTGGGTTTTGGGGTAGCTTGTACTGTAATTACTAATTTGGGGCATCTCCTGGTTTGCAAAACAGTGGTATCAGATCAATACCATCATCTTGTATTAATTATATTTTCTGATGGATGCTTTTTCCTTCATTCACCTGTAGATTTCCAGATCACAATAACCGTGTTTTATATTTTCCAACATGGATTATCTCCATTTTAATATGTAAGCCTAAAAGGAGTTCTTCTTCAATTTTTTCTCTTTAATTTTAATTTTATCTGTTTAATGTTAATCATTTTAATTTTATTTAATTTTTTTCTATATTCTGTGAGGTAAGTCCAGTTATACTCTATTTTTAGAATTAAGGAAATACATTAAAGAAATACAACATGGTAACACAGATACAAACAAAGGGGAAGCAGATGATGGAGATATTAGCCTCTTACCTCTCTTCACGGTTCTGCCCAACACATACACGGCCTCCGTAGCGAGGGCTTGGGTTATTGCAGGAACGCTGACGTACTTGAAAGCCTATTCCACAAGTGGTGCTGCAAGGAGACCAAGCTGACCATGGAGTCCACCCTCCATTTCTGTAAGAACAATAAATCATGCTCAGTAATTTCTAGGTCTGCGTGTCCAAAGAAATATTTGATTCCACAAGGGAAAAAGCTCTTTGTGGGGTACCTGGAGCAACAATAATGATCAACAAAACAATTAAATATCCTTTCGTTAACTCTAGAGAATCTCATTATCCCAATCTCATTATCCCAATCAGCTTTTAAAAACTGGACAATCTAACATGGGCTTAATTACATGGTTAGATCCTCTGTTCTGCCAGAAAATTCAATTTTTCCCAGTTGAGACATTCTTGAGGAAATCCTTCCACAACATAATTTCTCCAACCTGAAGTATTCTTTTAAATCTTTCCATCAATTAAGCAACTTTGCAATTATGTTAAAGTGTTCTGGTTATTGTTTTTGTTGTTGTTGTTTTTGCAATCATTGGGTCATAGGTTGTGCATATTTTGATCTAAACAAAATCATCATTGGAAAAGTCATAAGACAAGATATCATAATTCAGCATATTACCCATTCTCACATGATTTTTTATTACACTAAAATAAAAGAACCATGTGTTTTTATTAATGTGTTGTGGGAATAACTTTGGGAGATTGTAGAAAGAGCCACAAACAGGACAACAGTTGGACAAGAGAAAGACCACAGAAGGAAAGGGGGTGGAGAAAGTATCTCAGAAGGGACCCTCCCTACTTTCTCTGGAAAGTAAAGGCAGGGGAGGGTGGAAGTGCTTTCAGACTTTTGTAAGATTCTGTTACTTTAACCTTACAATAAAGATAATATTAATACTCATGTTTTTGGTTTCTTGTTTTAACTACCTCAAAGGGCTGACAATATTTCAGCTGTATGCACTTTAAAAAAAAAAACTTGAATAGCTAAATCAGAGTTTGCCAAATTTCAGATATGTATATAATTGCAAATTTTTAAATCATGGAACTCATGAAATATTTTAGTTAATCATATTTTAACCACAGCGAGTTTTAAAATCTTTCCAAGGTAGCAAAGATCTCTCTTCTCTCTTATTGTTCTCTCTTATTGTATCAAATGACTCCACATACTTTTAAAACCAGTACATATTTGAAAACCACACTTTGGTTTAGAACCATATTCCCTCAATATATAGAACCGAGGGTTAAAAAAAAGTAGGCAAAACAGTATATATAGGCTGAGTTCATGAGTTCCCCCAAAAAACCCCAACAACGATTGAGGTAAACAGGTCTGCTACACAGTAGGTAATTTAAGACTCTATAGGGGAGGATTTTGGAAGATTTTTTTATGCCACATTTATTATTTTTATAATAAGTAATTCAAAATGGTGAACAAATCTACTTCCTCCTTCTGTCCTCACCAAATGGTGAGATGAGTTGGGCTGAGAGATAGTGACTAACCAAAATCACCCACTTGGTTTTTCAAGCCTAAAGCAGGACTAGAACTTACAGTCTCTTGGTTTCTAGCCTGGAGCCTTAAGCACTAGAGCAAATGGGCTGTTTTTCTGTCATAGTTCTTTGTTTTTAAAAGACTAAAGAATTATTCAGTATTTTAACAGTAAGAAATCCACGTTTCACACTGAGTACCCTTTGACATTTGATACTTAAGAGATTGCAATGTTCAATCACAATTCCTTAATGTCACAAAGTTTGGGATCCAGATCTGCCCATTAATCCTGAAAAGGCAGAATCTGAACATAACCAGAAAGTAAGACTGGACCAAATTGGTTGCAAGATCTATATTTTATTCTGCACTAAGTGGGAATGGAAGCATTTTTGTGCTTGCTGCTGCAGTTGGAGCCCTGATAAGTGGCACATTTTATCACCAGCTGCAGCCAAAAGTACTTGTTGTCAAATAAATAAATAAATAAATAAAAGGAACAGTCAATGGTGTCCCGCTTTACCAATGTTAAAATCTGGCCACTTTAATAATAGTTCAACTTCTTGGCATTCTTTTCCTAGAAGGATTTGAAATTATCTCCCAGTATTAGCTGAACCAAGAGCAAGTTTAGCATAGTGATTACAGCACTAAACTAGAAGCCAGAAGACTAAATTCTAATCCTGTTTTAGGTGTGAAATCATGACTCTAGGCCAGTCTCTCTCTCTCTCTCTTAGCCCTAGGAAGGAGACAATGGCAAACCACTTTCTAAATCTTGCCAAGAAAGCTTAACATGGTCGTTAGCATCATAAAAGAATTGGTATTCAGATATCCAAATTATTGAAAACTAAATTTACAATGTCAAGATAGCCAAGAAGCTAAAATTGGCTAAAAGACAATATTATATATTATATTATGTATATCTGTATCAAATATATGTAATATATTGTATTACTGTGGCTTATCTTAGGCCTATAAAATATGAAGCAGTTCTATTGTCAGCAATGACCGGGATATACAAAATAATCTTCCAAGAATTAAATATTACATTATTAATTTTACTTTTTACATACCTAGAGCAGTTAACAATCTCAATACTTGACCCTTCACACTGGCGACCCCCACATTTTGGAACCGGATTGTCACATAAGCGTGTTCTACAGAGGCAAATGCCTACACTTGATCCATCTACATGTGTACAAGGCTTCCATTCTGACCAGGAACCAAAATGGCCATCCACAGTCAAATTCCTCTTCTGGAAATCAAAGGAGAAAAGAATACATTCCAGTGATCACATTTAAAGTAACAGATAATCCACTATATGTTACAGGTCCAACTTGTCTCACTGATCAAGAGCACCTTGTACCTGGCAACTTTTGTTGGACAAGCACAGCCTTGTCACAATATTCTTAAGATGTGCAGGGGAGGCTCTTTTTATATACATGTACAAACAGTTATGTTCTAATTATGAATTAGCTCAAACTAATTTTAAATTGTATTGCTAGTTTATAAAGCTTTAAACATCTTATGACCGGGTTGCCTAAGGAACCATTTACTTGTATATGGCTTACCCTGTCGTAGGGACCACCTCTCCCATTATGAATCTAATACATACACTGAGCCTTGATGGCGCAGTGGTTAGAATGTAGTATTGCAGGCTAACTCTGCCAACTGCCAGCAATTTGATCCCCACCGGCTCAAGGTTGACTCAGCCTTCCATTCTTACGAGGTTGGTAAAATGAGAACCCAGATTGTTGGAGGCAATATGCTGACTCTGTAAACCACTTAAGAGAGGGCCGTAAAGCACTATGGAGCGGTATGTAAGTCTAAGTGCTATTGCTAAGTGCTATGAATCAACCAACTGCAACCTGGGGTCTCTGTTGTTCTCTGAAACTGGTTGTCTGCTTGCAGACATTTCATTACCAAACTAGATAATATCAATATGCTCATATTACCTAGTTTGATAATGAAATGTCTGCATGGAAATTACCAAGCTCAGAGAGCACCAAGGACTCCATAGTTCAATCTTCAGCTACAAATATTCTCTTCTATCAGTATCAACTGCAGTGTTTACAGCAGCAGAACAGGCCCTTTTGATGGAACTTCTGCCAGATGCTTTGCTATCTAGTATGCAAAGAATGGCCTTATCCTATCTTGCTTCTAAGCTAATGGAATACTCTCAAGAAATTTATCTCAGGATTCAGGAAAGTGAGCAAAAAAATGCCTGTTTCATCAAGCTTTTAACTGTTAAATTGATTTTACAAGTGGTCCTCATTTAACAACCACTTGTTCAATGCCCGTCAAATACCGTTTCCCTGAAAATAAGCCCTATCCCAAAAATAAGCCCTAGCATGTTTTTACATGTGCACCTAATATAAGTCCTACTTCCAAAATAAGTGCTACTTAAGAGCCAGCGCCTACCCATTCTGTCTAGTTGGACACAGTGGCCATGAGGTAAGATGGGTTGGTGGTGGAGCTGCCCCATGCATCCCACAAGGGCTTTCCTCAGGGCTCCTGTAGCCAGGCCATCCACACCTGATATCTGCCTTGCGATGGCAACACCAGCAGCCATGTGCAGCAGAAGCCCACATGGCGGTTGGCCCACTTCTTCCACTTGTGAGGCAGGTGTCAGGGCGCGGATGGCCTGGCTGCAAGGGCCCTGAGGTAAGCCGGTGTGGGGAGCGTGGGGCAGCTCCATCTCCTCGCCTCACTTTGTAGCCGTGGCACCTATGGCACTGGCATGTCGCTTGGCCTCCTGCTCCGTTGCGGGCATGAGGAAGAAGTGGGCCAGCGGCCATGCGGAGTCCTACTGGACGGAGATGTCAGAGCCGCTGTCATAAAATGAAGCAAATGTCAGAGCAAGGGTGGCCTGGCTGCAGGGGCCCTGAGATAAGCCGATGCGAGGCACATGGGGCAATTCCAGCTCCAACCCACAACTTGTGGCAGTGGCACTGGCATGTCACACAGCCTCTTGTCCCACCACAAGCAAGCAGAAGAAATGGGCCTCCTGTACATAGAAAAGAATAAGACACCCACCAAAAAATAAGCTCTAGTGTTTATTTTGGGGCCCAAAACAAAATAAGACCCGATCATATTTTCGGGGAAACATGGGTATATGACAGCACTGAATGAATGATAGTTATAATGGGATGTCATACTTATAATTCTTGCAGCATCCCTGCAGTTACACAATTGTTATCTAGGTGCTTGGTACCTAGCTTTCAATTACAACATTGAAGTTCCTGAGTCATATAATTGCAAAGTGCAACATTCCCTGATAGCTTTTCACAAGCGAAGTCAAAGGGGAAGCTGTCAGGAAGATGGAGGTCATATGAGGTCCTCACTTAACAGCCCACATGGTCCTCACCCAAAGTTACCTAGCCAGCTTTCATGTAACTAAGGGAAGCCTAGAACTCCTGCTGCTTTCTAGGCTAGCACTTTAACGACAATAATTTTAATATATTCATTGATTGAAGGCTTATATACTATGTAGCATAGTGGTGTGTGTGTATATATAATAAGATTATTTATAAGCAGAAAGGCAGGTATAAATTTAACCATCACATTTTTGAAGGGCTTGCTGGGCAAGAAAAACACTGAGGGAAAAACTCCTACATCAAGTTGCAGAAATAAAGAATGTACTTTGTACACACACTGACTGAAAATTGAACGTTGTTTCCAGACTGTTTAGCTAAGATTTAGCTAAGATTTCAATGAGTAATAAACCAAAAGAAATAAAAGAAAAAGAACTGCAAAAGGACCTTGCAACTGTCATGCCATTGGTTGCCAAAACCACATGGCCTCGCCAGATTTTCTTACATCTGCAGTCATGAGCTGTGAATACATGCTCAAACACTAAGTGAGTGAATATTGTTCTGCTTTTCATGTGGCCTGCTAAGATGCCCCCCACTGAGTATCTGAGCAAGGAAATTAAGCAAACTCTGTTAATTGATTGTTTTTAGTGATTTTTTTTCCTAGTTGTACTTTTCTCAACATTGGGCATTTGTTATCTGGACTCCTAGTTTAATTTTATGATTTTAATTTTTTTATGTTGCCCAGTTATTGCTATGAGAGGGTTGTCTGTTTCTAAAAAAAATAAATAAATAGATAAGCAAGCAAACTCTGGTTTCCTGCTATAAGAACAAGGTGGAACAAGTGTTCAGTTTACACCAGTTCTTCCCAAAATCTTTTTTTAAAGTAACAATTATAAACCCATTATCTAAACATAGCAAAGACATTCTGATCAGTAGTGGATTTTAAATCCCAGCACTACTGGTTTGCTATTGGCAGCGTGTGGGTGCGCTCGCTCACTTTGCGAGTGCATGGCACTTTTGCACATGCGCAGAAGCTTCTGCGCATGTGCAGAGCATTTTTTGATGACATCTGGGCGGGTGGGTGGAGCCTCCCACTGCCACCACTACCAGTTTGCTCGAACCATTGCAAACCGAAAGCAACCCACCACTGATTCTGATAAATGGTAAAAAAGACTTTCTGATAAGCAGATTTGGGTAATGAAGGAAAAAGCTTGGGAAGTAATGGCTTACACGATCCCATCAATCCAGCAAGACCATGAGAAACTCCAAGGATTGTGCTTTTACTTTTACTTAATTATATTTTATATATTGTTTGCATGATGGTTGGTTTGAATAAGTTGGTTTCACAACTTACAGTCCTTTCCTTTATACTCTATAAGCAACTTATATTGTCACCCACCATTGTTAGGCCAAAATGAAAGTAATGAGAACATGGATTACAACACTGCAGGGAAAGGTTGGTGATGCAATGAAGATACTATAATTCATCAGTGAGGAGATGACCTCTAATCAAGAAGTTTCTTCCAAATAAATTTATGAGGTCAGATGACAAATCATGGTTAAATCAAATTAAAAGTGAATGCTTCTGAAATCTTCATAAATGAAAGGGTAGGGAAAGTTCACAAGTCTTTATGACTCATTCTCATTATGTTAAATGTTGCTTAATGTGACTTCAGAATAAGGCATATGTATATGATGTATTTCTTCCAATTATAATAAAAACATATTTTGTGTTCATTTTCATATGATTTTTCATATTACAATACAGACGAAATTAATGGTAGCTGAGCCAGAGTTAAAAGAGTGATGAGATACATTTACTGCTAATCTATACTATTTCCAAGAGAATGGCTAATCATAATTAATTTTCCCCCTTAAAAAAAGACTACATTCTGCTACAGGAAATTAGCACATCAGACATAAGGGATCTAGCTAAATTTCCTGACACACTAAATTTCTACGTAAAGGAAGTACTTGCATGGAGCAAATGGTCATTATGCCCTGAAAAGCAAGCTAAAAATCCGTAAAATAATCCTGCAAGGGCTTTAATGGGTAACACACATTACAGCCCTCGGAGGACAATCCTGTGGATTTTTCTCATCCCCCATGACAAATTTTCAACTTTTGAAAATTTCAATTTTTGTTTCAGAACAAAATGCTTTCTTCACCTTTTCTCTGTATACAGATACATTTAGTTTGAAGGTTGCAGTTATTATCCTAATAGAAGGATTTTTTTTCTACTCAGGAGTCACTGCGGCAGCTGAAGCTGCTGAATCATGGCCACCTTGCATGCAAAACTTATTACCAGCTGCCTGCCATGCCAGCTGTCTCAAGGTAGAGACAGCCAGAGCCATCAAATCCAGTGGCAGAGCAACTGTGCTAGATGCCTACCATCTGCAAATATTATAATTGGGCATCAGAAAGTTGCTTTCTAGTTCCACCCATATTACTTTTGATTCTGTGGGGCTCAATTAGAATAGCTCGTTCCTCTGTTTTGTCATTTGATTCCTATGTATAAATAAAAAAGAAATTCAGTGTTTCAAGTGAAAACAGACTCTTAAACATAGAGAGCCTGTGTAAGGTACTGAAAGTGGTTTCCGTACATATTCAACTTCTGATTCTCTATCCTGAAAACATTTGTGTCACAAAAATATACATACATTTATGTCTTGCTCCACCTGGCAATATTACTGTATGAAAAGCATCAGTCACTAGAACATTTTGTACTAAGTCACAAAATGAGCATATTCAAATAAACTCTCTAAAGGTCAATGTGGAAAACAACAGAAAGAGGGAAATTATCTACAAATACTTTAGACAGCTCGTAAGTGTAAGTGCACCCACATCTAGGACCATCTGTTGTAAAGGGGGAGTCTGCTCACTAAAACAAGAAAGGCCTTGTGAATTTAAGGAAAGAACAAAACTTTGGTGTGTGCATTAATAGCCAGAGATATGTGTGCTATTTCTGCATATCCTAAGACCCGGGGGTGGGGGGGCAGGCGGGAAAGAAATGAGATAGACTGGCTCAATTGTCTATGGAGATTACCCTCATAGGTAATCTGTAGGAGTCCAGGGTTTCTGTACAATGTGAACTCCTTTATGAACATCAGAGCCAGTGGGGATAGTGGTTAGAAGTTCTTGTGGCAGTGATTTTGAAATATTCAATTCTGGAAAAAGGGAATGGGCAGCATGAATTATCCTCAGTATATTGAGGAAACAATACCATTTTATTCAATCCCATGAAATATGGGGTTTTCAAGAAATATGAATGGATCAAAATAAATGCTTTGGCTGAATGGATTTGGGAGCAACAGATATAGATGAAGAGTACTTAAGGCTTCTGAAAAGTAGCCAAGGTCAGATCCCTGCAAAATTCTACTCTCTCTTCTTTTTAAGGGCTTTATGAATGACCATCTCAGAATATAGAATATTAACAACATTTCTTGCCCTTCTTAAATTTCTGGGCAGAACAGTGACAACCATAGATTTCCAAACATCTGGCATTAATGTATTTAAAAACAAACTAAAAATGATTAGCTAACAATATCAGAAGGAAATCTTGTTCCTCAACTCTGTGTGAAGTAGATCCTCAGCCCATCTCCTTTTCTAAAATTCTCTTGGCTTCCCGCTTCTTCCTTAATATCTGTTAGATTTTCCCTTTTATCTTTCTGTTTTATTTCATGCAAAGCCCTGCCTCTGGGACCACTTTTCACTTAATTCAATCTGTTTCTTTCTTCTTTAAGAACACAAAGGTAATGTCAACCTGCTTAGAAAACTTACACATGACAGCCTAGAACTGAAGATGGTAGATAACTTTGATTCCTTGGGCCCAAGGGAACAGATAAAGATGGGCAATGTGCTGGAGAAGTAAGGTAGAGATTAATTTTAGGATGGAAGGCAATGAAAAACCTAGATAAGACTTATTTATTTATTTAGGTTATGGACTCTTCAACAATAACAGCTTAAAGCACTGTTCTTTCCAGTGATAATGTATGGCTTTGAAAGCAGAACATGGAGAGAAAAAGACAGACATCTTCAATTTATAGATCTAGAGATTGTTTCTGAAAGTACTATGGATGGCAAGAAAAATGATCAATCAGTCCTGAATCAAATAAAGTCTGATTGTTCCCTTGAGGTGATGATCAGCAAGCAGAAGCTTACATACTGATGGGAAGGATGATGAAGTAGAAGAAAATAAGTTTGGTTGGCAAGATTGAGGGAGCAGTAGATAAGATGGATAGGTGGCATCACAGAGATAACTAGAATGTCCTTGGAAGAACTATGAGTAAATGCTTGGGCAGGTTAAGATGGGACCATTTATCCTTGTATTTTTTACCAGGAGCTGAGCCCATCTTGATGACACCTAACTTCAGTCAAAGACATATGGCACTTTTTGTTATCACTGCTTCAGACTTTTCTTTGCTATTGTCCTTCTTCATCTTTTTAGTTCTTTCCTAATTTTCTCAACCCACATATTTTGTGACCTCCATTTTCATTTATTGCTATGAACCTTTTGCTACTCTATTCTGTTTCTAAACAGAATTTTTCTCCCTTCCCTTCAGTCTTAAATCAGTTTCCATCTTCCCAAAGACTTCCCTAACCACCACCCCATCAATATTCTATTGCTTCAGTGATTGCATATACATACATACATACATACATACATACATACACATACATATATATGCATGTGTGTATGTTTGTGTGTGTGTGTGTGTGTGTGTGTGTGTGTGTGTAAATTGTAGGTGGGTAACTTTATGACTCATATATACAAATTATGCCTTACAAAAGCTTGCTAAGAATAGTGAAAAACACGAAGTATGTAACTCTGACAGACAAAACACACCAACTGATATTGTTTTGATAAAATCATTTGCCGTTAGTTGCTCTGTACAAAGAATACCTGAAGAGATGTGGTGGGTGGGCTAGCGGTACAATCACCCTAGAAGGCTCCAGCAATTATCACCAATTGCTCTTTTCTGGTTTCAGTGTTTCAGTTTGAACCTTTTCTGGTTTAGAATATTTTTGAATTTTTATTTATTTTTTTTTAATTGTAAATTGCTTTAAGGAGAATATTATAAATAATTACAATAATGAAATGGTTATCATGAATATGATGGATTCTGTGGAAATCACTTGGATTCAGACAACTTGAAAAAGGATGATGTATCTGAATTCTACTTACTGGACAGAGAGAGATGCTTTGCTCCCATTGACTCATGCTCACGCTTTCTTCCAATGGTGTGCATTTCCTTAGCACCAAGTCCCAGCCACAATAAGGATCCTGGGATCCAACACATGTGCTGAAAAAAATTAAATTGAAAACATCACAGAAATTCTCATATTTTTCTTCATGAGAAAGAATCAACATTCATTAATGTGCATCTAAAGACCTACTGAGTAAGACAAACAGCCTGAAGATGGAGGTATAGGTAATTCTTGTTTAATGACTGTTCCCTTAGCACTGTTTGTAGTTATGAAGGACCCTCCAAAAATTACTTATGATACAATTCAGGAGATCCAAAGGCTGTATATACCCCTGCAGTCACATGACTGCATTTTGACACTTCTTAATTGGCATAACTTTATGGCCAGTTGCATGATCAGATGACCATGATTTACAAAGTTTTTTTGATAGTTTCCAGTCTTTTTGCCCATTTCTGGCAGAAAATACCCAGAGGAGTACCTTGGTTCGCTTAACAATTGTGGTGTTTCCTTAACAACTGCAGCATTTGCTTAATGACCATCACAAAAATAAAAAGTCAGAAAATTGGGTCTTGACATGTGGGTACCTTGACTTACAACTGCCATGACTTTACAATGGAAATTTTCAGGCTCCATTAAGGTCATAAGTCAAGGACTACCCGTAGATAAGTCTTTTCCTCTGTTTTATTTATTCTATACCTGCCTAACTATAACCTGGAGATTATTATTCTCCAGGCAAAGCAAGAAAAAGGGCTAGCCCCCTCTTTTTTATTGTTTAAAATCTATCCCAAATTCTTCAAATACTTCTTCACTGTCCCTGAACAGAAGGTAGCACTTTTTTCAACCTAAGTGTTGAATTTTCCTACTGATAATTGTAGTTTGCTGGTGCTAATAATAACTTTCTGGAAATGTTCTACAATGCCTAAGATGGAAAATTGCTTTAGATAGGAGAGTTATGAGACTGAAGTGTTTAACTGAAAGATTAATCAACTGAATTGAATTCATTAGGGGTAGGCTGCCATTCAATGCACTTGGAAACTGTTTTTTGGTGAAAGAATAGCAATAGTATACCCTTTTTTTACAATGGATGTCTTTCCTCTATTAAACTGAAAATTGTTCTGCTTCAGATAATTACTTAATGAAAAGAGTTTTAAATTATGTAACCCTGTAATTATATTTTACTCATCTTTCTGCCCAGATCATTCAAGATCAACTAATCAGACAGCTACCTGTATGTTTTATAAAACTGGCATCTCTTCAGTGGGATCTTCACCACACTTCTCTGAAGACCCACATAGAGAGCACTCTGACTGTGTAAAATCTGAAGGCTCTTGATGGGCTCCCATTGCTTCTTTGGGAAGATGTGAATCTCCTCTAGCAAACAACTGCTGGCTGTCTGATTAACTGGAGCAAGGATTTTCTTAATTGTCCCATGATCTGTAAAAACAAGTGGGTCAGATCAAAGAAGCAGAATTTACTGAAATGTTGTTATCACAATTTCTTTCACATTCATTTTAGTAGAAAGAGAAGAAAGGAAACCATACTGAGGAAGTGAGGTAGAAGCTGAATATTCCCATCCTTTGAAGCTCAAAAAAAAAAAAATACAGTTGCTTTATGCCATTGATCCAATCTGCTTTTCTGTTATAGCTGGAAGCAGTATTTCAACACTTTGTGCAAGCTTTTTTTCAATCCACTTGGTATATTTCCTTTTGTCCAAAAAATGATAGTGGTGACTGAACTTTGTGAGTGCAAATTGATTCCTCCCAAACACAGTGTCCTACTCTGCCAGGGCTACAACAGACAGGAACAGGAAAGCAGATCAGTTATTCAATATGAGCTAGCAGAATTTTTCTCAACCTGGTGTTTTCAGATCAACAATCTCCATTTTAGGAGAAAGATGCTGTAGTTTAACACACCTGTGTGATATCAGGTCCAAGAAAGTTGTCTAGCAATGTAAGATTCTAGCTTCATATTTGAAAAGTATGGATAGTAACATTAGGTTTATCAGAAGATCATTTAAAGAAAAGGAAAATAAACCACAGTACCTGCCCATTCCTTAAAAAGACTATCAGTAAATTTTACTCCTATTATATCTTTAAAACCACAATCTCTTTTATTGCCTCAGATATTCAGAACCTGTTCCCTGCTCTAAGCATATTCAATTTATTGCATGGGTACCATAATATCATTATAATATGCATATATAAAAAAAGGAATATGATTGAATCAGACTGGCCCCTTTGCCTGTTCCTTGGACATGCGTGCCGGGCAGCTGCTCTTCTGGTTTCCAGTGCGCAAATGTGCACCGGCCAGCTGGTCTTCTCATGCGCATGCACACCAGAAACTGGAAGATCAGGCAGCCAGTGCACATGCATGCGTTCCCGTTTTGGCACTCAGTGCTGAAAAGGTTCACCAACACTGTCCTAAGGAAATCATCCAGATTTAAGGAAAGTTCACATGCCCCCAGAAAGGCAGTAAAAAAAATCAGACAGGGTGCCAAGCTTGCATCCTGCCTCTTGGAAGTACACCCCAAAAGCATACCCCAAGCAGTGTAAAAAGCTTTTTAAAAAGTCAAGCCAACAAAGTACCAGCAAACAAACAAGCAAACAAAAAACCCCCAGAGAGGCTCTGGCTAGTCCAGATGTACTGCCAAGAACCATTAGCTGTTACAATGTAGGAGAGGCACTTTCTGAAAATACTTAAACAGGGCAATAAAGATAAGGATTAGGCTAGAAACAATACAGAGGCAGGATTAGTTCTGACAGGATTAGCCCTGTAAAGTGAGAAAAAGAGATTTTTTTCTAACAACCGGTTCGGCAAAGTACTCAGAAAGTTAACAAACAGTTCTCCTGAACTGGTACAAACTGGATGAATCCCACCACTGCCTATATTGCTGAGCACATTGTAAGCCGCCCTGAGTCTTCGGAGAAGGGCGGCATATAAATCAAATTAAAAAAAAAAAAAAAAAAGAATATAAGAGAGCCCTGTTTGCCATTCCCCCTCCAATTGTACCTGGCAGCATACCTGACCTTAAAATAGAATACATTCTGTGGATAGTTACATTAGCTACTTTTCTTCTGCAATACCAAGGGTGAAATGCTACTGGTTTGGACCAGTTCGGCCGAACCGGTAGCAATGATTGCCATTGGTTCGCCAAACTGGTAGCAATAATCCCTCCCCCCCGCCCATGTCCGCCCATTCGTCTGGTTGCCCACTTACCCAGTCAACGCTTCTTTCTGGCTTGCTCGTTTTTCCCACCACTCGACACTTCCGGCCCACCCACCCCACCCCAGCCTATATAAGTTCCCCTTTCCACGTGGCCCAGCTACTTCGTTGATGAATGCCTGCTCGGACACCTCACCTTGCTCAGACCTCGCCTCACTTGGACACCTCACTGACAGCCACTCATTCAAAAAGTTAAGCATTGCTGGTTGCGGCCTAGCTACGATATGATTTTTTTTTATTTAAGTGATTCTATTATCAATTTAGCAGAACTTTTAGAATAGCTACTTTAAGATATTCCATAAAAGGAGAAGAAGTTGGTTAAAAATAACAAAAGTTGCCGCTTCCGGTTTGATTTCTGTTGCCACCAGATGGTCCTTTGAGACCGCCAGCCCCGTCGCTCGTAAAGAGCCACATTTACATCTGAAAGGCGGCTCGACAAACTCCATTTCCATAAGGAAATGTGAGATAGAGCAGGCGGGGTAGGTAGAACCCTCTGCGAAGTCCCCAGAGTTTTTCCTTTACTCTTGGGGACGAAGCAGGATGAGGCTCCCTATTTCCCTCGCCGCTGCTCCGGGCTTCGGGAGACCTCTGCCTCTTGCAGAGCCAGGCGACGAGATCAAGCCTTTCAATGAAAACAACAGATTGCTTAATTAAAGAGGATGAGATAATTAGATATAAAGATATAATTAACTATCAAGGCAAACTAAAGACAAAACAACAATTGGAGATAGATTTACACAGAGGAATAGACTGGTGGACTTACACTCAAATACAATCCAAATATAGAGAACATATAAAAACATAGGAAATTTATAATCAAAAACAAGAAATAGATAAAATTATATTAGATTCAGAAAATAAATTAATTAGTAGAATTTATAAATTTCTCCTACGCTACAAATTGGAAGAAGAGACAGTCAAAGAAACGATGATCAAGTGGGCTCAAAATATCAAACACACAATACCTTTGGAAAAATGGGAAAAGTTCTGGCAGGTAAACCTAAAGTTAACGAAAGCAACGGCGTACAAGGAAAACCAACTGAAAATGTTTTATCGGTGGCATATGTCTCCAACCAGATTGGCAAAAATACAACCTAAAAATAGCCCAATTTGTTGGAAGTGCAAAAAGGCACAAGGGACTTTCTATCATTTATGATGGACGTGCCCGGCAGCAAAGAAATTTTGGTCTAACATCAAAAAATGGTTGGAACAAATAACAAAAACACAGATTGAAAAAGAACCAGAAACATTTTTATTAGGAATATTTAACAAATCATACCCTAAGGATATCAAATATCTTACAATCCACATATTAACTGCTGCAAGAATAACCTACGCAAGAAATTGGAAACAAGAAAAAATACCAAGTGAAACAGAAGTAATAGGGAAAATTTTAGAATGCGCTGAAATGGATAGGTTAACCAAAAAATTACAAGAAAAAGAAGAATCAGACTATTATAAAATATGGAATAATGGGTATAATTGGTTAAAAATTAGAAATATACAAAAAATATAGGGGATATATTACCGATTGATACATATATATGTAATAAAAAATATTATTAGATTAAAGAGAGGTGAAGGAATATATTATAAGTAGAATTGTAGAACGTCACTCTGAAAAAATGCTTAAGAAGAAATTACACTCTTTGTGTATATGTTGTATAAATGTTTGTTGTGTATATGTTACGTATGTCTTTTTTAATATTTATATTCAATAAAAACTATTTAAAAATAAATAAATAAATAAAGAGGATGAGATCTGGACTTGGGACCCTAAATTGCAAGTATTTTTAATGATTTTATAAGCGTTTCTAAGCGAAGGAAAAAAAAAGCTTAAAATGGCGACCGCTGAGGCTTGAGAAGTAGCCGAAAGTGAAAGTCCTTCCGTAACAAGTTACAAAGTAGCGGAGCAAACAGTGCTGGCTAGAATAGAGAAAAGAAAAAATTTCTATTCTAAGTTTTTTTTTTTTTTTTTTTTTTTTGGAGATCTGATATTGATCTTGTTGGAGAGAAATCCTCTTTCTTCAAAAAGAGTTTGTTTGTGTGGCAGGATGGCATTAAAATTAACAAAGCCAGACAAACAAGCAGCGGGGGTGGGTGGGTTTCCCCCATTTACAAATATGTGAGCAAGTTTCGAGTTTACAGACTCAGAAGGATGGTTTTAATTTAAAAGAATTTGTTTTGAAGGAAATGGCAAGACATGACGAGATTGTGAACCAGAATTTTGAAAAATTCAAGCAGGAAATTAAAGAATTCATACAATTAAAGTATGATAATCTACAAAGAAAGATTGTAACAGTGATTAATGCTTTTTCAGAAATAGTTATAAAGATGGATACAAATATCAAGTTATTAGAGTCTAAAATGGAGGAAGTTGATGATAAGATTTATAATTTGAACAACAAAATACAAAGAATGAAAAATGAATTGATAAATATTCAAGACAATAGCTCTGAAGTAAAGTCTAAAAAGGAAGCTGATCACGAGACTTATAATACAGAAAATATAAAACAAGGGATTGAAAGAGAAGTTACAATGATGCAATACAGGCTCACAGAATTTGCGGTTAGAATGAGAGGGTTACAGGAAAATAATAGAGATGATTTAAGAAAAATATCTGCTGAAGTTTTGGCTGGGATTTTAAAGATTCATCCAGAGGAGGTATCTTGTAAGATCGACAAGGCCTATAGAGTAAATTCTTGGATTGCAAAGCAAAGGCAATTGCCTAGAGATGTGGTGATTTATTTTACAGATAAAGAAATAAGAAATGATATTGTGCAAAAATCTTTTAATTCTACTCTACAATTGTATGGAAGAAAGATCTGGATATATAAAGAGTTGCCGCCCAAGATATTAAAAGATAGAAAGAAATTCGGATTTTTGGTGACTGAGCTAAACAAACAAAACATCTCATTCAGATGGGATGTCCCAGTTGGTATAATATTGAGATATCAAGGAGAAAGATATCAACTAAACTCTGTTGAAAAAGCGGAAGAATTTTACTATAAGGTTCTTAAAATGGGTTCAACTTCTTCATGTATAATACATGAGTGGAATAAAGAAAAGCAAAATCAACAAGAGATAGAAATTCAGGATAAGCAGAATGAGATGGAAGTAATGGAAAAACAACAAGTTACAAAGGACTTTGTAGATGAGCAGCTTCTGGATTCTCCTTCAGAGGTTACAGCTGGACTATTTATAAATACAAG